CAGTCACATGAGCTTTTCAAGGCCAGTGCATGTAAAATAGTATTCTAGCACTATTTGACAGTTTAGGAGTAGCACATGGTCCTAAAGTAAAAATGCTTCTACATGTAACTTTGTGCTAGGAATTTTCCTTATTTCATTCTCACCGGTGATAATGAAAAACTCAATGTTTATCTCTTTTGTAAAAATAAGGAAAATAGTTGTATGTATTTTTAAGGAATCTTTGCACTTGTGGATTTTTGTGCAAAATAAATATTTTGAACAAAATCCAGAGTGTTTTGTATAATATATAGCAGTGTAAAATAATGTCTTGTGAAAGAGTAATAGAGGAAGTAGCGTTAGAAAGGGTCTCATGAGCCATCTAGTTCTATCCCTTTCTCAGTGCAAAGTCCCCATCTTAAATAATCTCCAGAATATCCATCCGATCACTTTTTGAAGATGTCTAGAGGATACCTTTTCTCGGGTTTTGTTCTCTGTATGTCTTATCACCCTCATTGCTCTTCTCTGAACCTTAGAACTTGTTTACAGCCTTCTAAAAATGATGAACCCAGAACTGAATGCAGTCCTCCAAACGAGACCTGACCAATACAGAATATAGTGGGACTAGTGGGACTATTACAGCTGAATGACAAACACAACTTCGGCATTTTTCAGCTTTCAGCAATCTATCTGTGCCTGTGTTTCATTAATGAGGATCTTATCAGACATTTTAGCTTCTTATTGGTAGTTCAGTATCTTTTTATGCATTAAAGAGAGTTTGAAGGTTTTGCCTTTTAAAAGATTGCATAGCGAGAAGGTCAAAAAGGTTGCTGATGAAAGAAGGAAGTCTAAATTACACAAGTATGAGTGTATCTGTCATTCAAGTAATGAATGGGCATGAAACAGCATTTTGTCATTGGATGTAATGGCAAAGTGACCAAAACTGGAATGCAATTTTGAAATGTCCCTTTTTAGAGATAGCCTGTCTTGCACGTTCCATCCATATGAGACACATTAGCTACATTACAGAATAAGAGGTCGGATGTATATTATAAGTCTATGTGAATTGTTGTGCCATGATCTTTTCCATATGCATCAAGACTTTTCCCATCCTCTGGAGTAGTTTTTTAAGGGTGCATTGGTTTGACTGCAAAATGAGAATGGGGTGGTTGATACTGCCAGGAACAGTGGAGTCCAGTGGAAATGTAGTATAACCTTCTCATCTGCAGATTCAATATCCAAGGTTTCAGCTATCCACACTCCAAAAATATTTCACCCAGAAGTGTTTATGGACCTCTCTAGGTTCTCCAGTGTGATTCTATGGCATGTTTCTGGTAAATATAGTAAAAATATAGGATTCGTTATTAATCACTGGGAGAGGGGAGTCTTTGAACATTTCCGCCTGGATACTGGGCCGGACTTTATTGGATTCTGCCTTTGGATCACAGTCAGACATACTCAGCTTCACAGGGACAGTTGGACTGTTGTATACAAGGCCAAAATGGCTTTCTTGAATGTTTTTCATATTTCATACAGTCCAAAACCCCATCATTACTTTCTTTAAACCATTCTTAGTTCATTTTGATCCTAGTTGTTACTGCTACCATTTTATGATTTGTGCAGTTAAATATTGCGGAGTGGAGCAGAGAAATGATTTGTTGGCATTCAGGATATAACTCTCCATTTATACTTCTAAGATCTGTATGTATTTCATACTTTAATCACATGCACATGATTGATGTTTGTTCATCACTTGTGGTCTCAGGGTATATGAGCATGTGTATATCAGAATAAATTCAGGAATTTAGTAGTTCTAGAGAAGAAGTAATATTATTTAATGGGGCTATGAAAGAGTAGGTTATATTTGTTTATAAGTGATCAATCAGATAGAAACTTTTAATCAGCCAACAGTTATTTTAAATAAGAAGCTCACCAGTGTGGAACACCCCCTTAATGTGATCGTAGCATTCTTGATATTTTATTGGGCAGAATTCAATTCTAATACCAACTAGATTAATAGCCATTTTATGTATGTCCTGTTGATTTCAGTAGCTGTATTTATACAAGGAGGTACACTGATCATGGCCTATTATTTTTAAATTGAGAAGAATATGAGCATACACAATCCCATCTGATATATAGGTGAATGATAAAGTTGTCTTTTTTCTTTTCAAGTTTGTTCAGAAACTGGGCAAAATGTTTGCCAATCTCATTTGTGTGTGTATGTGCATGTGTGTTTTCAACTGTGGCTCATTATAGTGTCACAAAAGGCTCCTGAAGCTTTTCAAGATAGCCTGATTTAGTGATGGAAATTAAATTCTCTGTCCTGCACTGAAGCTTGAGTACTTGCTATTGCAAAGAACTCTCAGAGCAGCAAGTGGTTATTGTTGTCCATTATTCACTCCCTAATTGCTGGACTGGGTCTCTCACTGTTGTTCTTTATATATTTTTCCTGTTGAACAGATGCATACAATTGGTGAGTTGTAAGTTCCAAGAAATTGAAAGATCGTCTACTTTTCAACTTGTGTGTGAGATAATGTCCTCCAAACTTGCACATGAAGATGTGTATCTATTTCACCTGGGATCTTTGACTAAAGTATGTGTTCGCTTTTTTTTAGAATGAGTCTTTTTTTTGAGGGGGGGGGCAAAGGTGGCAATTAACTCAAGAATGTTGGCAATTGAGATGCAGAAGTTTGATTTCATCAGAAATATTTATTGAGAGGGAAAAGACTGATTAGTAAATCACCCTGGTCTTTGGAGCTACGCATTCAGCAGGTCATACTCTTGATGTGATTTTCAGCTCAGAACATATGGATCTGTGGGCAGACCCGTACATCAGAGTTGTCATGGATAGATCACTTTTTGATCAGGACTAGGATCACAGTTACAATCTATCCCTGCAGGGGTAGAGGACCTAAAATGATCCGCCATCAAAGCTAATAGATTCTTTGAGATTCCAGGATGCCTTAGAGGGTTCTATGGCTGGCATCGCTGATGATCTTCCAGTGCCAGCAGGACTGCTAACTGAAAGGTTGGTGGTTCAAATCTGGGGAGCGGGGTGAGCTCCCATTTGTCAGCTTCGGCTTCTCATGTGGGGACATAAGAGAAGTCTCCCACAAGATGGTAAAACATCCAGGCATCCCCTGGGCAATGTGCTTGCAGATGACCAATAATCTCACACCAGAAATGACTTGCAGTTTCCCAAGTTCCTCCTGACACAGAAAAAAAAACCCTTGATGATCCTGTTGAATCTCTGGTCAATAAGTGGAATCAAAATCTAACCAAGGTTATTAACATGATCGCTCCCAAACGTCCTCTCCAGCATGTGACAAAACAGGCTCCATGGTGTACGGAGACATTCAGGGAAATGAAACAGGAAGGATGATGGCTAGAAAGCAGGTGGCAGAAAATTTGACTGAGGAGGCATAAGAATTAGAATCAATGGGGAACAACCTGTTGTCCTGTTTTGGACTCCCAGACTTCCTGACCATTGAACCAGCTGGCTAAGACCTCTGGGAATTAGAGTCCCAAACACCTGAAGGGCTATGGGATTAAATCATGTTTTAGACATGATCCTGTGCAAAAAGCAGAAGCAGAGT